ACTGAAACGCTCGATTTCCCACCAATCTCACTCTTTCTAGAACCTTCTTTCGGAGGAGCAGGTGAAGCCAGGGTAGCCTTTCCGTTACTCTTTGCAGCGCCGTTCGACTTCGGCGAAGAGACGCCGGCACGGCTGCCGCGGCCGCCCCAGATCTTCTTCGAGAGCTCGAAGACGTTCTGCTCATGCGGCTTCGTAGGGTTGTATTTCTTCCTTGCCGCGTTGTTTGAGTACTTCTTCTTTAACCTCCGGACTTTGTTGGACAACTGCACCTTCGTGACCTCAACGTGCAGCGACTTCTTGATGAAATCATGGAAGGCATTCATGTCCGTTGCGGCCGGATCGCCGCCTCTCTTCACAGCGTAGTCGATTAAACCTTTCAGTATCACGATCTCGTCTTCCTCGCTCCACAGCCTCTGGAACAGCTTCTTCGAGTCGTCTCCACCGGACTTCTTCGACTCCTCCTGCTCCTCATCAGACGCTGTTCTGACGTCGCCATCCCCCTCAGGAGGAGGCATTTCGGGGCCGCTCTTCTTCTTCACTCGCTTCATCGAGTCCTTTGCGGTGGTCTCGGACTCTCTCGGCCTCTTTGCCGACGACTTTTTCTCCGGCGTGGCGGCGACGGGCTTGGATCTGGCCCCTTTCTCCTCCTTCGGCTTCGACGCTATGGGCTTGACGGTCGAGTCGGCGGGCTCGGACTCGGAACTCGACTCGGCGTCGGACTCGGAATCATCGTCTGTCTTCGTGTTGGGCGATAAAACCGTTGGTTTGGGGGCTGCTTGAACCTTCTCATCTTCGGAGGTTTTTTCTTCTTCCGATGAAGTTTCCTCCTCTTCGTCGAAAGAAGAAACGGCCGGGGGTACGTCAAGAGGGGAAGCGCGTCTTGGTGCCATAGATGGGATGGAGGAGGAGACGGAGGGTTTCAGAGGAAGGGAAGATTGCGTTTTTTCTTTTTTTTTTTTTGTTCTTTTTTTTCTCGGCTGATATGGGTACTATTAGGTCACGAGTAATTATAATTTGAGTTACATATGATTTCATACTAGAATTTTTTATTATATTAAAAAAATTAAATTTTAAAAAAAAATTATAGTGAAATTTAAATTAGTGAAATAAATAAGGTATATATTTACACTCAGATTTATTTAGTTGAAGAATATCTTTCTTTTCTTTAATAAAAATTTAAATAAAAAAATTTCTACTAATAATTATCTTACAAAATTTAAATTCACTTTAAAATGATTAACTTAAATACATTAATTAAACAGACCATAAATTTATTAATGCCTCCACTAATTCATGATTTTTATTTATCATAATTTTATCTTATATTCAAATCCATTATTATACCCGGTTAATTATAAATGAAAATTGTATCTTTAAAAAAATTTTAAGAAAAAAAACACACACTAAAAATTAATTATGGTTAGAAAGAATTCTTCAAAAGAATGAAAAAACATATCCTCATGTCTCAAACTTGCATTCCATGACATTAAATTTCTTAGAGGTTTCTGATAAGAAAAAAAATTTATAATTATTTTGTGCAGATCTTTATAGTTTCCGGTTGTCTTTCATCAGTAAACTGGACTAGACACCACCATAGGATGCACAAATTATTGTGTACACGTTTTTTTATCACATCTAATTAATTTTGTGTTATAGAGGCGTTGTTCTTATTTGATGGGCATCATAAAAAA